ACATTCTTAGACCATTCACCAAACCAAGTCAGAGGTAGAAAAAGGAATTAAAAAGTTAAAAAAAGAAGAAAATCTCGTGGTGCAGACCAGATCACCGCAGAAGGTTTAAAAAAGACTGTACATATTGAAGTTAATGTTATGCATATGATCTGCAAAAAGATTTGGGAAACCGGAGAGTGGCCGGAGAGACGACTGGACAACACCCACTTTCATCCCTATATTCAAAAAAGGAACTCCGCTAGATTGCAGCAACTACACAACTGTAACCCTAATATCCCGTGCAAGCAAGGTTCTACTTCATGTAATACATGAAAGACTAAAAGCTTTTCTATTGCCTCAGATATCAGAACAACAAGCGGGATTTGTCCCAAGAAAAGGCACAAAAAACACATCCCTAATGTCAGACAGCTAATCGAAATATCTCGTGAATTCAATACTCCTATGCTTATGTGATTTGTGGGCCTTCGATAAAGTCAAATGGCAGCAGCTATGGTCCATACTAGCGGAAATGGGAACACCCCACCACCTAATTCAACTAATTAGAAGTCTATATGAAAATAATAAGTGCACAGTAAAAATAAACAACACCCATTCCGATCATTTCAGAACAGAGGTAGGTGTCAGGCAGGGATGTATAATCTCGCCAACTCTGTTTAATATCTACAGCGAACACATTATGCGAAACGTACTAGACGGATGAAAGGGCGGAATATCAGTAGAAGGTCAAAAATCAATACCTTGAGATAAGCTGATGACAATTTAATAATCGCGGCAACTCAAGAAGAAATGGAAGACATAATGAGTAATGAGATGTCTGGAGCAAAAAAGCAAAACATATGGACTAAAGCTAAATAGGAGTAAGACAAAGATCATGATAGTAGACAGAGCTCGGAATAATCTTCAACACATTAAAGAAATTGGGGGCTTTGGAGTAGTAAATAGTTTCATATACCTGGGGTCTCCAATAACGATTGATGGAGGGTGTGACAGAGAGATACGTAGAAGGTTGACTATTGCTAAAACAGCTGTGATGAAACTGGTAGCAATTTGAAAAAATTCTAGCATAACAATACACACAAAACTAAGGCCCGTAAGGACGCCATATACATTTTTCCCATAGCCACATTTGCATCCGAAACGAGACCTTAAAGAAAGCGGATAAAAATAAACTGGACGCTTTTAAAATGTGGGTATACCGCGCATGTTAAGAATATCCTGGACTGAAAATCGCACTAACGCATCGATATTAGAACAACTTAAAGTAAAGAGTAGATTGCTTAACCAAATACAATAGAGATATTTGCAGTATTTTGGACACATTCCTAGAAGAACAGGTACGATGTAAAAACTGATAGACGAGGGTAGAGTTGAAGGAAAGAGACCTAGGGGAAAATCTCCAAGCCGTTGGGTGGATCAAACAAAAATATTGATTAACCAACGGTTACATGAAGCCAAACAACTAGCCCAACACAGAGAAGGATGCAGGAAAATCGTGAAAAAACTGTAAAGGCCTGGTGGTGTCACCACATCCCAAAAGGGACTAGGTCCGAGGAGGAGGAAGTAAAATGTTCCAGGGAACCTTTAAAATTTGTTTCAGTACTCGGTGAATCCCGCCGTATTTTAAGCTTAAATAAAATGTCATTCAACAAGTGTAACAAAAATCAACCTATGTCATGCTAAAATAAAAAAAAACGCTGAATTATACTATAGAAAAACGCTTAACTTACAATCAACCAACAGAATATCGAAAGAGTCGAGCAATATACATATCTAGGCACCAATTTAAATATCCAGTGGGACCACTCAACAGAAATTAAACAGCGAATAATAAAAGCAAAAGCAGCATTCGTTAGAATGAGAACCATTTTCAACAGTCGAGACATATCATTAAAAACAAAATGCAGTCTATTGAACTGCTATATATTCACAGTTCTGCTCTACGGAATGGAAGCGTGGACACTGATTATTGCATCTATGAATCGGCTCGGAGCTTTCGAAATGTGGTGTTATGGGCGCATCTTACGTATATCCTGGGTTGACAGAGTTACTAATGTGGAGGTCCTGTGTAGAATGGGAAAAGAATGTGAAATTCTCATTTTTGAATATTTCTATAGTATTTCCAGTACAATGTTTCCCTGATTATCTATCAGGAATCCACTGTTCTTGTGTTTATATAAGCCTGCCTCTTCTTTAATCTTTTTATGGAGGTTAAATGAATCATGTTTTCGTTGTAATGACTCTATCTCTGTACACTTCGAGCTAAACCAATTTTCTCTTGCTATTTTAATAGCCCTTTTTATTTCGTTATTTATGTTGTTGTAGTAATTCTTATTATCTTGAGCGTTTCTTCTGTTTTCCATCATATATAGAATCTCCTCCGTCATCCATTCCTTTTTCTTTGTTCTTTCAGGTTTTAAGTATTTCTCTGTTATTTCTTGACTTACTTTGTGCAAATTTTCTAGTTCTACATCTGTGTTATCTATTTCTGTATGAGCCCACGGTTTTTCTGTACGAGCCCACGTATTTTCTTTTAAGCGTTTTTGTACCCTTTCCTTTACTGTTTTATTTTTTAGTTGGTTAATATCGTACTTCGTAATTTTTGGTCTTTGAACTTTCTTTAAACTAAGTTTCATTTTGGCGATAAGTGGATTGTGGTCCGAATTTATGTCGGATCCCGGGTACGCTTTAACAGATGTTATAGAGTTTCTAAATTATTTGTTAACAAGAATATAGTCTATTTGATTTATTACTGTTTGTTCTGAAGTATCCTGGGGAGATTTCCACGTATATAGTCGTCTTGGAGGAAGATCATAAAAGGTGTTTGTCACTACGAGCTGTTCTTCAGTTGCAAATTCAATCAAACGGTCTCCGCGTTCATTACGTTCCCCTAGACCAAAGGATCCCACTAAATTTCCACTTTGTTCTTTGCCAACTTTGGCATTAAAGTCTTCTATTATTAGTCTTATTTCGTTTTTCCGAATTTTTTATGTATAATTTCTAAAGATACTTTTTAACGTTGTTAGTAGATTAATGGTTGTTAAAGATGGTGTTAAGGGTGTCTATTAAAGGAGTATGTTTAGCCCAGGAGAAAATCAAGGTAAATAAGATAAACTAGTCATGCGGAGGCCAATATTTTTAATTTGTGGAAGGTATTAATTAATTGAGGCATATAATAGGTTTTAGGAGAAGATGTATATTTTTATTTAAAGAGAACACGAATAGGATTAAAGGGATTTGCGGATGGGATAATGATGCAGCATATAAAAGTAGAAGAAATTACCGTCTTCTCCTAAAATGTTTTTGTTAATAATCTCGAAGAAGTTTAAGCCACCATAGAAACAACTAACCCCTTAAGATTTAGATGAAATATGTAATAAACATGTTGTTCAATCATGAACAATCATGACAGATTCATTGAGTCATTGAATTGTTTAAAAGCATTTAAGTTGCAATTTTGGGTCTAGTAATTGATCCCACTCAGTATATCAGAAAAATACAAAAAGCATATTTTACGTGCTAGTGTTAATTGAAGTTTAAAACTGATAAATTTCATCCATACAAAAAGACACAAGTTCAAGAGTTAAACGAAAAATAATCTCCTGAGGTCTGATAAAAATATAAGATCTTGGTTTGAATCATAAGTGCAGGTCTTTTAGAGCAACAAATTAGTTTTTTTTACCTTTTTGAGCTTTTATTAGTTGTTACCTTTAAAATCTTTAAAACGCGATTTGCTGGTAATTACACCGATTAAAAAAAATTTTCTTGAGTAAAAAAATACTTACAAAATTTTTGATCATAACATTTGTGTGGGATTACAAAACTCAGCACAACGTTGATATTGCAAAAATTAGTTTATACAAAAGTCAACCAGTTTTTTAATTAAAATTAAAAGTTAAAAAAAATAAAAACTGTTAATTAAGTAAAAAAATCATTTCCAAATTTTGGATCATTTAAAAATTTGTGTGTAATTGCAAACCCCAGAACATTACTAATTCAAATATTGGTGCAAAAACTGCTTTCTTTGGAATCACACCAACGACAACACTGGAGGAACTACTCCACCTCCCTACTTAACATATAATTGTAATAGGGTGGCGATGCTAGGATATTATAGAGTGCGAGAAAACCTGAACAATGTATCAGTTAGATCAGGCCATATAAACATAAATGAAATTAAGGATATCGAATGGATAATTTTGACAATATGGCATCTATACATAGGTCTGTAAGTACGTTCTCAACTAAATGTTTGCCCACGAGAAGGATCAGGCGGAGAAAACACACGGTCCAGACTGCAGAGTTATATCTGGTCTACACGCAGGTCTAAAACTGCAAAAGAGTTGTCTGCAGGAATATTCGGTAGTGGTAGAAATTTAAACGTTTCTCTTCCACAAGGAGAATATACTCTGTATTTCGGGCGGAAATTTTTGCAATCTTCTAGTGTGCAAGAGAAATTAATAAGAGGGCTTTCGAACTGAAGGTGTACCTTCAGTAGGAATACCAAGAGGAACTCGTGCTAATAGGGCTGAAGTTGAATGGTTATTATGAATAAATGAAAGATACTATAGGTAACCCTACTGGCTGACGTACGGCGGTTTGCAACATACGGCTTCCATGGAAAAAAATTCCAAATGTTTAATAGCCCTATTTTTTAGAAATCACCAGCAAAAATATTAAAATGGTGTTTAACTAATGTTTACTAGAATTTAAAATTGTATTAAGGAGAACCCTGTAATAAAACAATATTCGTAGACCAACTCTAATGATAAAAAAAATATATTACAAAAATGAAATATTTGTAATTAAAATCAAGACCAATTTAACATAGAATACAATGTAAACAAGTAAACTATGTTTTTTAATTACCTAACTAATCTACATAAATACCTGTGAAGGTGAATCGACAGAATTAAACCACCTATTGTTTCAGTATAAAAGATTTATAAAACTACTCGTTTAACACAAGTACTGACATTAATTATTGCATTAAGAGGACTTACCGTTAATTTCGCAGTATCCCCAGTCAACAGCCATTCTAAAACAAAAATATATGCGTTGTAATATATACCACTATGTATATCCATAATATAAATTTTTAGGTAAAATATTTTTATAATACTGACATCAGGGAACTAATTCTATTGACATAAACATTCAATGTCAAATGCGACGTGGATGTATCCTGCCTTCTTACTCTAGATCATATATTTAAAATACGTTGAATATTCAGTCAAATGGAAAACATTCAAATTGGTTTCAAAAATGGCATCGAAAGACGAAAAATACTTTTTGCATGAAGTTACTAGTGTATAGTGGTCTATCCATAGAACAAGTGAAAATAAGTAAAGACATGATTTAGTAGCATTCTATCTTTTGTTACAACCCTTTTTGAACCTTGGCCTCTTCACAGAGAAATCACTACTTCTGTCGATTCCTAGCATCTTTCCTCCATCTTCTGGTCCTTAGAATCTTAAGGTTTTTTTCCATATCATCAATCTCCTTCTAAGCAATTATGCTGAAGATATGACTGTTATATGGAACAAGATATAAGAGCTTCAAAAAATATTTTTTATAGAATAGAAGATGAATAAACTCTAAACATTAACAGTGTAGAACCAAATTTGATGATAAACAACAGATATGTAGTTTCATATTATATAAGTAATTAGAGTTTATAATAAACAACCAAATCATATTGAGAAAATATATAATTTGCGACTACTTAACGAAGCGATGTACAGTAAGTAACTAGGACAACAAGTAAAAATACAGGGCGCCAAAAACACCAATAGTACAGATACCTAATAAACTGGTGCGACATACATAATGACATTGCAAGAAGAGGAGAGCAGAAGAGGAATCAAGGGGGAGCTGCGTTTCTTCCAAACATTATAAGAATATTATTACCACTAACCTCATTATATATTTTTTTTCTCATTTTTGCGGATTGAAATGTTAATACAAAACTCGATATACGATTCAAACTTTAATTTATAAACATCTAGAACCCCAGAATGGAGTGACTATTATTGATAGAGACTACAAAAAAAAAGAAAAAAATTGTAATTGTGTTGTTTCAATTATATAAAAATGTTGCCATATATATTCAAATATAATTTTTTTATTAAATTATATATGTTTTTTACATACCTTCAATAATTCGACTTATTGCAAATCATAAGAGAAACGTTTCTGCTTCGTAAGGTTAGGCATTACTGTTCCGAGAAATTCTTGCCATAGCATTTGAAATTAGCTATAAATATATTAAAGAATTTAAGTGTATTATGTTGTTATACGCTATAACTAATTCGCACAAGCCACCATTTTAACTGAAAATAAGTTATATTTGACATTTCCAAATCCACCTCAACAGTAAAAAAAAATATAAGAACGATTTGTGAATTGGAAATCAAAACTTCATATATATAACACATTTTTAATTTAAATTGTGGCTTATTAACATTAAATATATTATAAACCATGTCAGTGATACACGTCCTGTTGGTGCGTTCGTTGGTGAGGCTCGCGACTGCGATAAAGTCGCAGTAGCGACTGCGACTACAGTTGCGGCACTTGTTTTATATAATTTACGCATATACGTTTTGATTGAGGTCGCAGACCGCTACGATCTAGCCGCAGCAGTTGCTATTTGACTGCTAGATGAACCAGTCAAATCGCAGTCGTTCAGTAAAAATGGCGAAATTCAATGCAAATGATGAAGGATATTGGTGGAATAAGTTCAGAAATATCCCTCGATTTTTGATTACGAACATGAAAATTATAAAAATATAATTATAATTAAACAGAATACCTGGAAAAAGATAGCATGTTCAGCCTCCCTTTCCTCTGCTGTAATTGGAAACTTTACACAATTCATTCCAGGATTTTTTATCTCCTCTTCTATGAGTGACAAAACAAAATCAAATTGCTCGGGATTTAAACGAAAAATTTTTCTAAACTTTTTTTCGTCCACTTTTAATGTTCTCTGGTGGTCAGTATGCTTTCCGGCCAGTGTAGATTTAGGAGATACCTTCATCTGCTTGGATTGGCAGATAGTCCACGGTGCCATTTTTGTAATGAGGAGAAGAAAAGCTCCTCACACGTCCTCTGGACGTAACCGGTAATGGCCTACCAGAGGTGGCAGATCCTGGGATCGACATTTATGCTACCGAGCTAAGTGAGAGAGTTATTCTCCTAATAAGTGGACTTGTAGCTTTCTGTGAGGCCACAATACTACTAAAGGATTAGACTTCAGAACGGCAGAAAAGGTTCAGGCTTGGAGCCCTACTGATTACTGCAAATATGGAACTCTGGAATAACCTGTGCCCCAGAAACGGCGAAGAATAGGTTCTTATGAACTTATTCCGTGTGATAGGGGTGATACCATGGACCCGTTTTAGGAGATCTAGGTGTCTGAAGGGCTTAGAAATGGGCTCTTCCCCGATGTATCATACTCATAAGGATAAAATTGCTCGGGATTTAAGCGGAAATTTTCTCTAAAATTTCTTTCGTCCTTGTTTAAGAGTGAGTTTATAAGTAGACTAAAATATCCTTTTTCTGCAGGTATTTTTAAATATATTGTGTTTGTCAATCATTGCTTCTTCTCTAATAATTCCAGCTGTAGCCATCTTCTTCTTCCTCTTCTTCGAAGAGATACTTAAAATATCACTGTTGATGTTTGACACTGATCAGTGCCAACCCACAGGTTCGTAATGTTTTGCATGTGTTAGGGGTAAATGTAATATACGTTTAGGTAAAGAAATAGGTAAAGAAATAATAAATAAGACTTATTCACAATCAATTTAATTTAACTATCAGACGACCGGTTTCGCTTTCTACAATATGCAAAGCATCTTCAGGTCTCGATCCAAAGTTAAATACATGATGCCGGTACTCTATTAATTGATGGATGGTAGCACATGGTTGAAACTACTATGTATTGTTGAATGCTTTGCATATTGTAGAAAGCGAAACCGGTCGTCTGATAGTTAAATTAAATTGATTGTGAGTAAGTCTTATTTATTATTTCTTTACCTATTTGAAATGGACTCACACAAGCAACACATTCATGATTTGCAATATACGTTGTTAATATGTATGCAGTCATTTAACGTGTTTATCATATATTGATTATAGATTAAGATCAAAACACGAAATTACTATTAGATTTTTCTTGTTTGATTTTAAGTAAAGGTAAATATTAAAATTGATATTTTAGATGACTAATGAAAATTTAATATGTGTTTTTTATGACTATATTACATACAAAACTGTATTAGCTTATAAAAACAGATAATGGCAATAAGACACTACTAACTGTGAAGTCAAGAAAAGTTAACTCAATGTTTAACAAAAATGTCTAGAGCGAGACCAGATTCCATGGTATCAGAAATTTTCGTGTAACTATTTATACATGTATATGTATACATGTATATATAGTACGATCTACCTTGCGTCTCTAGTACTGTTGGGGAGACGTTAATAATTTGTAAATAATTCTGTGCATTAAAAGTATTTCAGTGTGTTAAAGTATGTCGTTTCGTTTTTGTTTTGATCGGTAATTCAGCCTTGTGGTACTAGTGTTTCCACAAATATCAGCTGCGTCGGCTTTATACATAATGGCAATTAATAATAGTTTCTTACAATTTGCATTTTGTTGTAATTTATAAGTTCAGTTTATAATAATTTGGACCGCTTTTTAAATAAAAATACATTATTAGTATTTTTCAATGAACACAATGAATTAGTTTGTTATTTTTACGACTATTTTTGTCAGCTTGTTTACAGCAACCAAATATGTCGGTGTCCACATCGTACAGTCAGAGGCACACCTTTCCATATAAAATAAATTATGCCTATAATTAACGTCAATAATCAAGAAGAATGCGAAACGATGACCAAAAGATCGGACAATAGTTTATCGTTCGATAAGTAGTTACTTATTTAGTCAAGGTACTGAACTTATATTTATGTTGCTTTTTAAAAACAAGGCGAGATTTATATATATATTTGTTAGTTCTTGACAGTGAATTATTAAATATAAACTTTTTAAATACCTGGGTTGTGGTCGATTTGTTGGTTTGTACAGTACGTTTGTGTGCAAAGACCCTCCAATGCAGATATTGGTGAGTTTGGCCAATATATGCTGAATTGCAGTCTTTACAATTTATCTGGTGTAATCTTATACAAGGTATGTCAAAAAATATAAATTTCACTCAAGAGTAAAGTACCTTTATATTTCTCAATATCAAAAATTGGTATAATGAAAAGTTCTTAGGAATTAAAAACTATGTTTTTATGTACAATTACATCCTTCTAATTACAAACAAAATCTCTTATTAATACCCAATAACATTTCAATACCCAACATCATATTTATTTCTTACAAATATGATTAATTTTACGAAAAAACTCATTCTTTACAAAAAGCTCTGTGTAGTCTAAAACCAAAGATGCAAACATCAGATATCAGATAAGTTTTCATGCGGCAGTCTGCTGACTGCCGTTTTAAATAGTTCTGCACTCCTGCATATTATAAAACCATTCCCTCAAGTTTTAAAGCCACAATATTTCTCGTATTTCCCCATTTCGCTTTCGTAGAATTTTTCATTGAATAATAAGCTGTAATAATAAGTATATTTGCCCTCTTATCACATGGCCTAAGTACTTAGGTTTTTTCTTTTAGTAGTTGATTATTTTAGCCTAATTTTCTATTATTCTAGTAACGTCTGTGTTTTCTTTAGTTCGTATTCATGACAACATTCACTAAGTCGTTGCATTACGTTCTGCTAATCATTGTTATCCATCATTATTACTATATCCTCTGCAATACGCAAATCATTCAAAACTTCTTCATTAATAGATTCTTCTTCTAATGAATCTAAGAGCAATTCTTCAAATAATGCTTCACTATATTGAAGAGTAGTGGTGACAGTACGCAACCCTGGCAGACTCCTCCCTATATTTTTATATTTTTGGTATTCTGGTCGTCATCTCTGACCTTCACAGTTTGATTCCAATATAGATTAGATATAA